ATTTGGCACAAATACCTAATACGCCCACATTTGAATACTGGTGGTTTGGGAGGGGGGCTGATTTTTGTCATTTGGGACTTATAGTTAACCTACAATAAAAGATGATTCTGAACTCCCTCAATGATGGAATTGAACAGTATTAAAAAACTCTAAAATTAAAACAGCAAAACAACAGAGGGAAAACAATCAAGGACATCTAATCACCACTCAACAAAAGATTGCCCCAGGCACTGCCAGGTCATCAAATGCTAATCAAGGTGTTCAGTTGAAACATTCACACCTAGCCCCAACAGACAAGAGTCCTTTGTCCCACCCTGGTCATTCAACAGATATTTAAACCCATTTTCCTAGTTCCAACAGACCTCACTACTTATAGTTGGAATCTGTTCCATAGATGTCCTATAATATGGTCAGTGGAACAGGAATGTTTCCAAACAAGATGCAGAAGACCTCGCTTATTGGAAAAGAAAGTATTTTCTGCTTGTGAGTAAAGTCAATATAATGGGGCAGTGGCAGTTAAAAGTCAATTCCAGACAACAGAAGAAAAACCTGCTTTTAAAACTAACAAAAACATTTCAAATTGGGTTGCTGTGAGTTTTCCAGGTTGTATTTTCATGTTCCAGAAGCATTCTCTCCTGACATTTCACCCACATCTATGGCAGGCATCCTCAGAGGTTGTGAGGTCTGTTGGAAATTAGGCAAGTGGGGGTTATATATCTGTGGAATGTCCCCCAGGCAGAATGCAGCCAAGTTTCGAACCTGCAAGGCCATTCAATGCTTTTGGTCATATCGGGAGCGACTTGAGAAACTTCAGGTTGTTTCTGGTGTGAGAGAATTGGCCGTCTGCAAGGACGTTGCCCACGGGACGCTCGGATGTTTTGATCTTTTACCATCCTTGTAGGAGGCTTCTCTCATGTCCCCGCATGGAGAGCTGGAGCTGACAGAGGGAGCTCATCCATGCTCTCCCCGGATTCTGTGAGTTTTCCAGGTTGTATGTCCATGTTCCAGAAGCATTCTCTCCTGACATTTCACCCACATCTATGGCAGGCATCCTCAGAGGTTGTGAGGACTGTTGGAAACTAGGCAAGTGAGGTTTATATATCTGTGGAATGTCCCCCAGGCAGGAAGCAGCCAAGTTTTGAACCTGCAAGGCCATTCAATGCTTTTGGTCATGTCGGGAGCGACTTGAGAAACTTGAGCTTTCTGGTGTGAGAGAACTGGCCGTCTGCAAGGACGTTGCCCACGGGACGCCCGGATGTTTTGATCTTTTACCATCCTTGTAGGAGGCTTCTCTCATGTCCCCGCATGGAGAGCTGGAGCTGACAGAGGGAGCTCATCCGCCTCTCCCCGGATTTGAACCTGCGACCTGTCGGTCTTCAGTCCTGCCGGCACAGGGGTTTAACCTACTGCGCCACCGGGGTCTCCCACTCAATGTTAATCAAGCTGGTCAATTGCAACATTCACACTTCCCTCAAACAGACAAGAATTCTTTCTTGCACTCTGTTGAGGGCAAGTGTTAATGTTGCAATTAATCACCTTGATTAGCATTGAATGGTGTAGTGAATCTTACCTAGTAGGCCGGAAAAGACGCCAGGATAACAGTATGGCAAACCTCCATGTTGAGAGTGTATGCCAGGGAAGCAGCTATCTTGAGTGAGGATAGATAGAAGATTGGAGGAGTTTGAGGTCTCCTAGGATTGGCTAGAGCAAGTGGGAGGAGCCAAGTCTTAGGAGGGAAAAGATTTCAGCTTCTGTGAGAGTGGAGAACTGGGAGTTGGTGGGTGAAGAAGTGTTTTTGAAACTGGATTTTCAGGGAGAGAGTATCTGTAAGACAGGGGTTGATTAGCTGACAAGAGAAAGGTCAGGCAGCAACCTGATTTCTTGTGGGAGATAGCCCAAGAGATTCGCTCTCTCTAGACTGAGTTAGATAGCAGAAAGAACTCTGGGAAGAGTTAGCTGATAACTCAGGGGACTGCCTAGGATAGGTTAGTCAGAAACTCATTACTATTTCTCCGAAGTAGAGTGAGGGATTTTTGTTACTAGCAGCTAGATCTGTTTGATTCGCTCTGTATGTAACTAAGTGAAGATACTTATTCTAGCAACCATCAAGCTGTAGTACTTTTGTAACAAGTCAAGCGTTTTGTGCCTCTCAGAAGAAGTTAGTTGTCTGTTTTTATAAATAAATCTTCTTCTATTTATGTTTTTATAAATAAATCTTTTTCTATTCAACTTTCAAAAAGGTCTCTATCGTTCCTCAATCTATCATTAATCCTTCGTGATAATTCCAGTAACTTTATCATCCTGATACTACAGAAAGGACTCATATCCAAACAGTCATTCTGGGAGCCAGTGTTGGCAGAAGTGGGAAAAGTTTGCCTCGAAAAATCCTTTTAAAAATCCTAAAGCATCTTGGGTTGGTGGCAGCTTTAAACCAAAAGAAGACTAAAAGACAAGCAGTGTTCATTCTACCATTACACATATCTATCTACATCTTGCTACCAAATTGAAGGCACAGAGGTAGGATTTTTGAAGAAAAGGTGAATCTTTGGGGAAAGAACCATCCTGCCCAGATATATTATCGATAAGCCTCCAGCCTCACATCACTGGTTGTGATATTTTCCTTTAATTGGTGTCCAGTGGTGTGATATCACATACATTCATTTTTATTTTATTTTTAAATTTTAATTATTACATTTGGCCCTGCCATGGGTTTTTAATGCGTCATGGTGTTATTGTTACTGTTTATTGCTTTGTTTATGAGTTTATTTATTGTCTGTATTGCTGTTGTTGTTTTTACTGATGTACTTGTGCTCGGCCTCTTGTAAGCCGCACCGAGTCCTTCGGGAGATGGTAGCGGGGTAGAAATAAAGTTTTTTTATTATATTATTATTATTATTCCTTTATACTGGTGGCAGCGGTGCGCTATATATTGATATTATATTAGGGTGTACGTTATAAATGGCCTTAAGCTTCAAACCCTGGCTGCTTCGTGCCTAGGGGAATCCTTTGTTGTGATGTGTTAGCTGGCCTTGATTGTTTCCTGTTTGTAATTCCCCTGTTTTTTTAGTGTTGCTCTTTATTTACTGACCTGAGTTTTTTTTTTAATACTGGTAGCCAGATTTTGTTCATTTTCATGGTTTCCTCCTTTCTGTTGAAATTGTCCACATGCTTATGGATTTCAGTAGTTTCTCTGTGTTGTCTGAATGGTGGTTGTGCAAGTGGTCCAGCATTTCTGTGTTTTCTCAAATAATATGCTGTGTCCAGCATATCAAGTTCTCTGCTAGGGTCTGGAGAACAAGCCCTATGAGGAGCGGCTTAAGGAGCTGGGCATGTTTAGCCTGAAGAAGAGAGGGCTGAGAGGGGATATGATAGCCATGTATAAATATGTGAGAGGAAGCCACAGGGAGGAGGGAGCAAGCTTGTTTTCTGCTTCCCTGGAGACTAGGCAGAACAATGGCTTCAAACTACAAGAGAGGAGATTCCATCTGAACATGAAGAACTTCCTGACTGTGAGAGCCGTTCAGCAGTGGAACTCTCTGCCCCGGAGTGTGGTGGAGGCTCCTTCTTTGGAGGCTTTGAAACAGAGGCTGGATGGCCATCTGTCAGGGGTGATTTGAATGCAATATTCCTGCTTCTTGGCAGAATGGGGTTGGACTGGATGGCCCATGAGGTCTCTTCCAACTCTTTGATTCTATGATTCTATGATTCTATGGCTGACTTCTCTCTAGTCTGCAGTGCCTTCTCTGTTCCTTGATTCTTGTTTGGGCATTGCTGCGTTCGGTGGTTCCCTTCCTACCACAGATGTGGGCAGGGGCGGCTCAACCATTACGCAAAGTAAGCAGTTGCAGTATAGTTAATTTTGCCCAGGGGCGCTCTTGAGGCACTCTTGGGGGAAAATAGACCTTGACATATGCGAGTTGTAGTTACTGGGATGTATAGTTCACCTTGGAGGGCCACATTCGGCCCTCGGGCCTTAGTTTGAGGACCCCTGACCTAGAGTTTTGGAGTTGTAGTTCACCTACATCCAGGAAGCACTGTGGACTCAAGTAATGATGGATCCGGACCAAACTTGGCATGAATACTCAATATGCCCAAATGTGAACACTGGTGGAGTTTGGGGATAATAGACCTTGACATTTGGGAGCTGTAGTTGCTGGGATTTGTAGTTCACCTACAATCAAAGAGCATTCTGAACTCCACCAATGATGGAATTGAACCAAAGGTGACAGACAGGACACCCATGACCAACAGTAAAGACTAGAAGGGTTTGGTGGGCATTGACCTTTAGTTTGGGAGTCGTAGTTCACCTACATCCAGAGAGCACTGTGGACTCAAACAATGGCGGATCTGGACCAAACTTGGCACAAATATTCCATATGCCAAAATATGAACACAGTGGTGTTTGGGGGAAATAGACCTTGACATTTTACAGTTATAGTTACTTAGATTTATAGTTCACCAACAATCAGAGATCATTCTGAAGCCCACGAACGACAGAATTGGGGCACATTTCCCACACATAACCCCCGTGACCAACACAAAATACTTAAGGCCATCCAGTCCAACTCCCTTCACCAGGGCAGGAAAACGTAATCAAAGCCCTCCTGACAAAGAGCCATCCAGCCACAGATTAGATAGAATTGAACCGAATATGGCACACAGAACTCCCACAACAAACAGAAAATATATATCAGTGATTGGTTGGGATGGGGGGGGGGGCCAAAATACTGTTCGCTTACCATTGAAAATTACCTCTGGATGTGGGCAAAACACTCCCCCGAGAGTGCCTCAAGAGCACCCCTGGGCAAAATTAACTATACTGCAACTGCTTACTTTGCATAATGGTTGAGCCGCCCCTGCCCACATCTGTGGCAGTAGAGAATGCTTCTGGAACATGACCATACAGCCCGGAAAACTCACAGCAGCCTAGTGATTCTGGCCATGAAAGCCTTCGACACTACATTTAAAATTATCGGTAATACCACAAACAGGACCTAAACTCGGTTCAAGGGCTTTGTTTAATGTGACTACACAACAAATGAAAGACAAGCAGCCATGTGAGTTCACCCTCATATTGTTGGATTTCGTCCCCAACACAAGAAGCATATTTGGTTATGTGAAGCAGAAGCCTAAAGACGTCAAGGATGTCAAGGAAGCAGAGTTAGCGGCAGCTCTTAGGGTGGCATTTTTATTTAATATCACCTGCAGAAGGGAAGCGGGGGGCGGAGTGAGTAAAGAGAGGGCCTTACCCTCCTAAGAAAGCAAACAATGGGAAACGGACAGCTAGGTCGCTTGTATCCAAGCACAAGGCTCAAAAGCCACTCGGCCGCAAGGCAGTTGCTTGCTTTTCTTCCTGCTGCTCCTCCTCCTCTTTACAGCTTCTTGGCACAAGGAGGGCAATAAATCTGCTCGGCATGGAAGACAAAAGGCTTGTTAGCCAGCGGGATGGAGCACTTCTTGCAGTTGAAGCAGTATTCATGCCACGACTGGCCTTCGTGGCTGACCACGTTGGTGCCTTTCCCAAAGCCTAGAGACAGAATCAGAGACAGCTGATAAGGAGCAAAGACAAAGTTGTTTGCGTGTTTGTACTAGGGCTGGGCAACCACGGAAAAATTTGTTTCTAAACTCAATTTGTTTTTTGGGGTTTTTTGCGTTTCGATATTTAAAAGAATTCCGAAATTTTTCTTTAAAAAAGTTCGATATTTACGAAATTTCGTAAATTACGAAACAATTACGAAACAATAACGAATCGATTCGTTAATGGCGGACGCGACCGCGCAATACGCTAAAAACCTCCAAATGGGACAGGGGGAACTTCTGAAGCTTCCCTCTCCCTCTGTTGTTGACTGTTGGTGTGATATTTATAATTTTTTTTCACTGATTAAACAAACAACAGCTATAAAACTTGCCCCAGACATGCGGAAATAATAACAAAATGATTTCGAAACGAATACAAAGCAATTACGAAGCAATTACGAAGATGCTCCTGAATGGTTCAGTATCGCTTCGTTATCAAAAAAATAACGAATTACGAAATTACGAAACGAAACCGCCCAGCCCTAGTTTGTACCATCTTGACAGAAAGAATTGGTTTCCTAGGGAATAAATCAGCATTTCGCAAACCAGGTCATTTGAAATCCTATACGTATCATGGGAGATCATGAGTCAGGAGGAAAAAACAATTTTAAAAACTGTAGATATAATATGGATATATAATGTAGACATAGTATATAATAATATGTAATGTAGATACAATAATAAAGAGTGGGTTGTTGTAGGTTTTTTCGGGCTATATGGCCATGTTCTAGAGGCATTTTCTCCTGACGTTTCGCCTGCATCTATGGCAAGCATCCTCAGAGGTAGTGAGGTTTGTTGGAACTAGGAAAAAGGGTTTATATATCTGTGGAATTACAATAGAGTCAAATAAAGGAAATGTAGTAACACTAATAATAGAGTAAAATAATACATGTAATAATAATAGAGTAAAATAATATATAATAATAAATAGTAAAATAATTGGTCGTGTCAGGAGCGACTTGAGAGACTGCAAGTCGCTCCTGGTGTGAGAGAATTGGCCGTCTGCAAGGACGTTGCTCAGGAAACGCCCAGATGATGTAATGTTTTTATCATCCTTGTGGGACCATGTCCCCGCATGAGGAGCTGGAGCTGATAGAGGGAGCTCATCTGCCTCTCCCCGGATTTGAACCTGCGACCTGTCGGTCTTCAGTCCTGCCGGCACAGAGCTTTAACCCACTGCGCCACCGGGGGCTGCAGTAAAATAATAAAATGTAATAACAACAATAGAGTAAAATAATAAACAAAAAATAGAATAAAATAATGTAAATGTAATACTAATAGTAGTAATAATAGACTCAAATAATCAATGTAATAATAATAACAACAATAACAAAATAATAACGTTGATTGAAGTACAGTGAGGGGGAAAGTATTTAGTCAGATACCAATTGAACCAAATACTTATTTTCCAGCATAATTTGCAAATAAATTCGATAAAAATCAGACAATGTGATTTTCTGGATGTGTTTTCTCATGTTGTCTCTCATAGTTGAGACCTGGCTCGAGAGCAGTACGTGTGAAAAAGATCTTGGAGTCCTCGTGGACAACAAGTTAAACATGAGCCAACAATGTGATGTGGCGGCAAAAAAGCCAATGGGATTTTGCCTGCATCAATAGGAGCATAGTGTCTAGATCTAGGGAAGTCATGCTACCCCTCTATTCTGCTTTGGTTAGACCACACCTGGAATATTGTGTCCAATTCTGGGCACCACAATTCAAGAGATATATTGACAAGCTGGAATGTGTCCAGAGGAGGGCGACTAAAATGATCAAGGGTCTGGAGAACAAGCCCTATGAGGAGCGGCTTAAAGAGCTGGGCATGTTTAGCCTGAAAAAAGAGAAGGCTGAGAGGAGATATGATAGCCATGTATAAATATGTGAGAGGAAGCCACAGGGAGGAGGGAGCAAGCTTGTTTTCTGCTTCCTGGAGACTAGGATGCGAAACAATGGCTTCAAACTACAAGAAAGGAGATTCCATCTGAACATGAGGAAGAACTTCCTGACTGTGAGAGCCATTCAGCAGTGGAACTCTCTGCCCCGTAGTGTGGTGGAGGCTCCTTCTTTGGAAGCTTTTAAACAGAGGCTGGATGGCCATCTGTCAGGGGTGATTTGAATGCAACATTCCTGCTTCTTGGCAGGGGGTGGACTGGATGGCCCATGAGGTCTCTTCCAACTCTTTGATTCTATAATTCTATGATTCTATAGTTGAGGTCTACCTATGATGTCAATTACAGGCCTCTCATCTTTTTAAGTAGGAGAACTTGTACAATTGGTATCGGACTGAATACTTTTCCCCGCACTGTATAAGCCAAGGGGGGCTTTTTCAGCCTTAAAAGGGGACTGAAAACCCCAGCTTATACTCAAATATATATGGTATGTATTTTATGTATGGCATCTTTGTGTGTTATTTGTAAGCCACCCAAGTCCCTATGGGAAATAATAATAATAATAATAACAACTACTACTACTACTACTGCAGGGGTTCCTTGAGACCTGAAAATTATTTCTGGGTTCCCTCCAGAGAACCAAGGTTTACAACACAGGTCCTCAAACTTTTTAAACAGAGGGCCAGGTCACAGTCCCTCAAACTGTTGGAGGGCCGAATTATAATTTGAAAAAAACATGAATGAATTCCTATGCACACTGCACATATCTTATTTGTAGTGCAAAAAACACTTAAAACAATACAATAATTAAAATGAAGAACAATTTTAACAAATATAAACTTATTAGTATTTCATTGGGAAGTGTGGGCCTGCTTTTTGATGAGATAGGATTGTTGTTGTTGTTGTTTTGTGCTTTCAAGTCATTTCAGACTTAGGTTGACCCTGAGCGAGGGCCGGGTCAATGACCTTGGAGGGCCACATCCGGCCCCTGGCCCTTAGTTTGAGGACCCCTGGTTTAGAAAGACTCACAATAAGGACTGTCAAGGTGTCGTGGTTTCAGTGTTGAAGACCAGGATTCAAATCCTCATCCCACCATGAAAATCAGTTGTGTCATCTTGGAGAGTCCCATTCTCAATCTCAGACGGAGGCAAACATCTAAACAAATCTGGATTGTTTGTGTGTGTGAAGAGCAACTTGAGAAACTGCAAGTCGCTTCTGGTGTGAGAGAATTGGCTGTCTGCAAGGACATTGCCCAGGGGACGCCCAGGTATTTTGATGTTTTACCATCCTTGTGGGAGGCTTCTCTAATGTCCCCACATGAGGAGCTGGAGCTGACAGACTCCCCAGATTTGAACCTCCAACCTGCCAATCTTCAGTCCTGCCAGCACAAGGGTTTTACAAATCTGGTCTGCTTTAGGGACATCAGAAATCGGAAACACATGATGCCAAGGAAATACTGTGATAGGTTTGTCTTAGGGATGCCATAAGTGGGAAAAGAAGGCACACAACAACATCAATGAACTGGGAACGAGTGGAATTTTGCTGTCAGAGACATAGATGCTGAAAGGCCCATACAAGGCTTTTGCATTTCCATGTGAGACACATACACATGAGTAAACCAGCATTCAGTCAGTCTGCCTCCAGAAAATCCTGCAAATCTCTTGGGAAGACATGCAGACAAACGTCAGCGTGCTGGAAGAAGCAAAGACCACCAGCATCGAAGCAATTGTCCTCCGCCATCAACTCCGTTGGACCGGCCACGTTGTCTGGATGCCTGACCACCGTCTCCTAAAGCAGTTGCTCTATTCCGAACTCAAGAACGGAAAATGTTGGTGGGCAGGAAAATAGATTGAAAGATGGGCTCAAAGTCAACCTTGAAAACTCTGGCATAGACACTGAGAACTGGGAAGCCCTGGCCCTTGAGCGCTGCAGCTGGAGGTCAGCTGTGACCAGCAGTGCTGCAGAATTTGAAGAGGCACAAATGGAGAGTGAAAGAGAGAAACGTGCCAAGAGGAAGGTGCGTCAAGCCAACCCCGACCAAGACCGCCTCCCACGTGGAAACCGATGCCCTCACTGTGGGAGAATATGCAGGTCAAGAATAGGGCTCCACAGCCACCTACGAACCCACCCCCAGGACACCGAACTTGTAGGATTACGAGGGATCGCCTAAGTAAAGAAAGTAAAGAAAGTAAGGAAGTAAACAACTTCGATTTGCTTACCCGTGATGGGGTTCTTGCATCCGCTGCATTTCTTGGCCACAAAGTTCTTGTAGCAATCCACGCAGTAGAACAGGTCCTCCACAGCCGTGAAGCGCTGCCCACCCAGCTTCTTGGAGCAAGTGGCGCACACAAAGCACTCAGCATGGTAGGGGCGGTCCTGGTAGGCAACTCCTCCGGAGGTGATGGCCTGGCGGGGGAAAGGAAACCGGCTGCTCAGTGCGCTGTTTTGCATCTGACTCAACCTTTCCCACCCATTCATCCATTCACAATCTGCATTATCATCTGGACAAGGGTTTCCTTCTTGTGCTTAGACCAGTGGTTCCCAACCTTTTTTTGACCAGGGACCACTCTCTAAAATTAGGACCAAAGGATTAGGTTAAAGGTTTTACCCTGACATTAAGTCCAGTAGTGTCTGAATCTGGGAACTGGTGCTCATCTCTTTCTAAGCCGAAGCACCTCCTAGGTCATGTGGCCGACATGACTGCATGGAGCGCCGTTACCTTCCTGCCGGAGTGGTACTTATTGATCTACGCACATTTGCATGTTTTTGAACTGCTAGGTTGGCAGAAGCTGGGACTAACAGCAGGAGCTCACGCCGCTCCTCGGTTTCGAACCTGCGACCTTTCGGTGAACAAGTTCAGCAGCTCAGTGGTTTAACCCACTGCTCCATCGGAATCCATTTTTGGTCAGCTTTAGATTCGGTTTGATTATTTGGGGTGCTGATTCAGAAAATTGCACTGGATAGACCACATCAGCTCTAGTTTCTGATACAGAACATATGCCATATGCCAGTAGTCACCATCTGCTCACCCACAGAAAACTATTTAATAATCCAGAGCTGATGTGGTATCCTCTTTCTCCGAAAATAAGACATCCCCTGAAAATAAGACCTAGTAGAGGTTTTGCTGAATTGCTAAATATAAGGCCTGAAAGTAAGACCTAGCAAAGCTTTTGTTTGGAAGCATGCCCACCCAGCAGCACACCAGAGCATRTAGYTGTGATTCAACAATAAATGTGAATTCTTCTTCATGGAAAAACAAGACATCCCCTGAAAGTAAGACCTAGCAAAGCTTTTGTTTGGAARCATGCCCACCGAGCASCACACCAGARCATGTAGCTGTGATTCAACAATAAATGCGAATTCTTCTTCATGGAAAAACAAGACATCCCCTGAAAGTAAGACCTAGCAAAGCTTTTGTTTGGAAGCATGYCCACCGAGCASCACACCAGAGCATGTAGCTGTGATTCAACAATAAATGTGAATTCTTCTTCATGGAAAAACAAGACATCCCCTGAAAGTAAGACCTAGTAGAGGTTTTGCTGAATTGCTAGATATAAGGCCTCCCCAGAAAGTAAGACCTAGCAAAGCTTTTGTTTGGAAGCATGCCCACCCAGCAGCACACCAGAGCATGTAGCTGTGATTCAACAATAAATGTGAATTCTTCTTCATGGAAAAACAAGACATCCCCTGAAAATAAGACCTAGCAAAGCTTTTGTTTGTAAGCATGCCCACCGAACAGCACACCAGAGCATGTAGCTGTGATTCAACAATAAATGTGAATTGTTCTTCATGGAAAAACAAGACATCCCCTGAAAGTAAGACCTAGCGTATCTTTGGGAGCAAAAATTAATATAGGACACTGTCTTATTTTTGGGGAAACAGGGTAGTAGTAATTTTTTGTGGGTAATCAGACTCTCCCCTCCCAACATCCCCATTGCCTTGGCACAATAAGAGTATTCCTCTGGGTCCATTCTCAAACCTCACACCACTTCAGCACCTGCCAAATCAAGATCGTTGTAAATTTGCACATAACCTATTGAGACTTGCATCATTACACACGTGTAGTTTCAGCGTCCTGTGATAAATATAAACGGGTCAGGGAAAATCTTTAATGAACTCATACAAAGGTGGTCTACAGGACTTACATTCTTGCACTTCACACAGGTCTTAGCAAATTTGTGCTCATGGCAGGTGACACAGTAGATCTCATCCCCTTTGGGGAAGAAGCTGGCCGTGCCGATCACCTTCTTGCACTGGTCGCAGGTGAAGCAGTCCTTGTGCCAGACAGTCTTCTTGTACTCCACGTTCTGGTCACCTGCCAGGAGAAAGAGGCCAGAGGTGAGAAGCCTATTATCCACTGCAACAGAAACAGAAATTTAATCATTTCTCTACCAAGTGGTTTTTCTGAAGGTTTAGACAAGCTCTTAACTCTTCCTGAGACTCAGCCTCTATGTTTCCTTGAGGACGCAATCCTTTGATTTGGATGTTTCCTGCTGCTCTGGGAACTGGGACACAATGGAGCAATGGATTCAAATAGCAGGAAAAAGAGATTCCACCTAAATATCAAGATCTTCCTGATGAGTAGAGCTGAGATCTCTTTCAACTCTATAATTCTACATCAGCCTACCCTTTGTAACTTTATTTATTTATTTACATTATTTCTATCCCGCCCATATCAGCCCAAAGGCGAGTCAGGGCGGTATACACAGTCGGCACAATCCGATGCCATAAAAATACATCTATACACATAATAAAAATGAAAAAATGTGTATGTGCGTATGTGGTGGAGGTGTCCACTTTCACACACAGCCTTCAGCCTCCACAAGCAGGCTATAGTTCCAAGTGCTAAGAAGCCTCCAAAGGTACTCCCTCAACTGACATTGCAGGTTATAGTGAGCGCCATGAACATGTAGCCCAAATGCTGCCAATGTCCTCCCCAAACACTAGAGCCCACCACCCAAGGAATGCTCGCATTCGGGGAGAATTTCATTCTAGATTTGCTGTGTTTTCTCCACCACAGGCGGGCATCCCTGGGTTCATTGTGTGGAATTTGCATGGCCCTGCCCACTGCCTCTCGCTTAACCCTTTCTTACCCTTTCCTATGGCACACAGCAAACGCAGAGGAATTGATCATCAACTGTACAGACTGGGGGGTTGGGGGGACTGACTGTACAGACTGGGGGTTGGGGGGACTGACTCAACAGGATGGAAGTTGTAGTAATCTGGGAGCTGTAGTTCACCCTTATCCAGAGAACACTGAACCCAGCTGATGACAGATCTGGACCAAATTGGCACACCGAACCAACATGGCCAAGTGTGAATACTTTCTGGGTTTGGGGGTGATTGTCCTGGGAATCTGGGAGTTGTCGTTCACCATTATCTAGATATCACTGAAGCCAGTTGATGTCAGATCATCAACTGAACCAAGTCTGAACCAAACTTGGCACACAGATCCAACATGGTCAACTTTGAATAATGGCTGAGTTTGGGAAGGATTCATCCACGATTCTGGGAATTGTAGTTCATATACATCCTTATGCATTTTCTAATGGAAGCATTCATAAAAAAACAAAAAGGAAAGACTGGCTTTTTATTATAATAAATGCCGTTACCCATTACCAAACTGATATTACTAAACTTCGCAAAACAAATAATGCCTTTCTCAAATAACCCGGGCACCACCAGGTTCCAAAGCTAGTACATTAATAAAGCAAAAACATTAAAGTGCATTTAAACATAAAGACAGTGCATAATAACAATTTAAAAAGAACAATTTAAAAGAAATAAAATCCAAGGGGAAAAAAAATAACTATGTCCTCTCATTCAAATCCTCATCCGTTCCATCGTCTTGGCCATTCCTGGGTCATTTTCCGATTGAAGTTTGCCTGTTTATCCCAAGGTTTTGAATGCTTGCTTGAAGACCCAAGTTTTCACTCTTTTTCGAAAGGTCAGGAGGGAGGGGGCTGATCTAATATCCCTATGCAGGGAGTTCCACATCCAAGGGGCCGCCACAGAGAAGGCCCTGTCTTTCGTCCCCGCCAAACGTGCTTGTGAAGCAGGCGTAAGTTCCTGGGGGGTTCGTAGGAAGAGATGCGTTCAGATAGATAGACTGGGCCAGAACCATTTAGGGCTTTATAGGCTAAAGCCAGCACTTTGAATTGGGCCCGGTAGCAAACTGGCAGCCAGTGGAGCTGGCGCAGCAGAGGAGTTGTGTGCTCCCTAAGCGCCGCTCCTGTTAGCAACCTGGCTGCTGCACGCTGGACCATTTGAAGCTTCCGGGCCGTCTTCAAAGGCAACCCCACGTAGAGCGCATTGCAGTAATCTATACGGGATGTAGCCAGAGCATGGACTACTGTGGCCAAGTCAGACTTCCCAAGGTATGGGCGCAGCTGGCGCACAAGTTTTAATTGTGCAAATGCTCCCCAAAACCTGGGGATCCAGGCTGAGCGATGAATCCAGTATCACTCCCAAGCTGCGAACCTGCGTCTTCAGGGGGAGTGTAATCCCGTCTAATACAGGCTGTAATCCTATGCCCAGTTCGGCCTTTCGACTGACTTTATGAATCTGTAACTATTCTGTAGAAGTTAAACAAAAATCAGATGGTAGACAAGGGAGCGATACTGCCCAAGGGCTCCAACCCACCTGCCACGATGGGCTTCAGGCAGCCCTTGCAGCGGGGCGCATCCTCAGTGGTGGTGCACTTGTTGCACCAGACCTTGTTGTTCTCCTTCAGCATGAAGGGCTCGTTCACCAGGGATGTGTAGCACTTGAAGCAGCGGAAACAATTCTCGTGCCAGTAGCGGTTCTTGAAATGCAGCTCCTATATGAAAACAGATGGAAGGGAAACCATCATGAGCACAATATGGAAAAGAATCCCTATCAGCATCTCAGCTTCCCTTGGCTGGATCATTAATATGCTGGCACTGCTAAGTGGAAGGAGGAAAAAGTAGATCATAGCTTTATTGGCAGTGCTACACCAGTGTAATCAATGTGGAAGGAGGAAAAGTTACATCACTGCAGTGTTGGCACTGCTACACCAGTATAAGCGATGGCAGGAGGAGGATAGCTGGATCATTGCTTTGCTGGCACTGTTACACCAGCATAAGCAATGGCAGGAGGAGAAAAGCTGGACAATAGCTTTGCTGGCACTGAACGCCAGTGTAAGCAATGGCGGAAGGAGGGAAAGCTGGATCATGGCTTTGTTGGCACTACTATGCCAGAGTAAGCAATGGCGGAGGAGGAAAAGCTGGATCATGGCTTTGTTGGCACTGCTACGCCAACGTAAGCCATGGCGGAAGGAGGAAAAGCTGGATCATTGCTTTGTTGGCACTGCTACGCCAGCGTAAGCAATGGTGGAAGGAGAAAACGCTAGATCATTGCTATGTTGACACTGCTACGCCAGCGTAAGCAATAGTGGAAGGAGAAAAGGCTGGATCATTGCTTTGTTGGCACTGCTATGCCAGCGTAAGCAATGGTGGAAGGAGGGAAAGCTGGATCATGGCTTTGTTGGCACTGCTATGCCAGTGTAAACAATGGCGGAAGGAGGAAAAGCTGGATCATGGCTTTGTTGGCACTGCTACACCAGTGTAAGCAATGGTGGAAGGAGAAAAAGCTGGATCATTGCTTTGTTGGCACTGCTACGCCAGCGTAAGCAATGGCGGGGGAGGAAAAGCTGGAGTATTGCTTTGTTGGCACTGCTACGCCAGTGTAAGCCATGGCGCAAGGAGGAAAAGCTGGATCATTGCTTTGTTGGCACTGCTACGCCAGCGTAAGCAATGGTGGAAGGAGAAAACGCTAGATCATTGCTATGTTGACACTGCTACGCCAGCGTAAGCAATAGTGGAAGGAGAAAAGGCTGGATCATTGCTTTGTTGGCACTGCTATGCCAGCGTAAGCAATGGTGGAAGGAGGGAAAGCTGGATCATGGCTTTGTTGGCACTGCTATGCCAGTGTAAACAATGGCGGAAGGAGGAAAAGCTGGATCATGGCTTTGTTGGCACTGCTACACCAGTGTAAGCAATGGTGGAAGGAGAAAAAGCTGGATCATTGCTTTGTTGGCACTGCTACGCCAGCGTAAGCAATGGCGGGGGAGGAAAAGCTGGAGTATTGCTTTGTTGGCACTGCTACGCCAGTGTAAGCCATGGCGCAAGGAGGAAAAGCTGGATCATTGCTTTGTTGGCACTGCTACGCCAGCGTAAGCAATGGTGGAAGGAGAAAACGCTAGATCATTGCTATGTTGACACTGCTACGCCAGCGTAAGCAATAGTGGAAGGAGAAAAGGCTGGATCATTGCTTTGTTGGCACTGCTATGCCAGCGTAAGCAATGGTGGAAGGAGGGAAAGCTGGATCATGGCTTTGTTGGCACTGCTATGCCAGTGTAAACAATGGCGGAAGGAGGAAAAGCTGGATCATGGCTTTGTTGGCACTGCTACACCAGTGTAAGCAATGGTGGAAGGAGAAAAAGCTGGATCATTGCTTTGTTGGCACTGCTACGCCAGCGTAAGCAATGGCGGGGGAGGAAAAGCTGGAGTATTGCTTTGTTGGCACTGCTACGCCAGTGTAAGCCATGGCGCAAGGAGGAAAAGCTGGATCATTGCTTTGTTGGCACTGCTACGCCAGCGTAAGCAATGGTGGAAGGAGAAAACGCTAGATCATTGCTATGTTGACACTGCTACGCCAGCGTAAGCAATAGTGGAAGGAGAAAAGGCTGGATCATTGCTTTGTTGGCACTGCTATGCCAGCGTAAGCAATGGTGGAAGGAGGGAAAGCTGGATCATGGCTTTGTTGGCACTGCTATGCCAGTGTAAACAATGGCGGAAGGAGGAAAAGCTGGATCATGGCTTTGTTGGCACTGCTACACCAGTGTAAGCAATGGTGGAAGGAGAAAAAGCTGGATCATTGCTTTGTTGGCACTGCTACGCCAGCGTAAGCAATGGCGGGGGAGGAAAAGCTGGAGTATTGCTTTGTTGGCACTGCTACGCCAGTGTAAGCCATGGCGCAAGGAGGAAAAGCTGGATCATTGCTTTGTTGGCACTGCTACGCCAGCGTAAGCAATGGTGGAAGGAGAAAACGCTAGATCATTGCTATGTTGACACTGCTACGCCAGCGTAAGCAATAGTGGAAGGAGAAAAGGCTGGATCATTGCTTTGTTGGCACTGCTATGCCAGCGTAAGCAATGGTGGAAGGAGGGAAAGCTGGATCATGGCTTTGTTGGCACTGCTATGCCAGTGTAAACAATGGCGGAAGGAGGAAAAGCTGGATCATGGCTTTGTTGGCACTGCTACACCAGTGTAAGCAATGGTGGAAGGAGAAAAAGCTGGATCATTGCTTTGTTGGCACTGCTACGCCAGCGTAAGCAATGGCGGGGGAGGAAAAGCTGGAGTATTGCTTTGTTGGCACTGCTACGCCAGTGTAAGCCATGGCGCAAGGAGGAAAAGCTGGATCATTGCTTTGTTGGCACTGCTACGCCAGCGTAAGCAATGGTGGAAGGAGAAAACGCTAGATCATTGCTATGTTGACACTGCTACGCCAGCGTAAGCAATAGTGGAAGGAGAAAAGGCTGGATCATTGCTTTGTTGGCACTGCTATGCCAGCGTAAGCAATGGTGGAAGGAGGGAAAGCTGGATCATGGCTTTGTTGGCACTGCTATGCCAGTGTAAACAATGGCGGAAGGAGGAAAAGCTGGATCATGGCTTTGTTGGCACTGCTACACCAGTGTAAGCAATGGTGGAAGGAGAAAAAGCTGGATCATTGCTTTGTTGGCACTGCTACGCCAGCGTAAGCAATGGCGGGGGAGGAAAAGCTGGAGTATTGCTTTGTTGGCACTGCTACGCCAGTGTAAGCCATGGCGCAAGGAGGAAAAGCTGGATCATTGCTTTGTTGGCACTGCTACGCCAGCGTAAGCAATGGTGGAAGGAGAAAACGCTAGATCATTGCTATGTTGACACTGCTACGCCAGCGTAAGCAATAGTGGAAGGAGAAAAGGCTGGATCATTGCTTTGTTGGCACTGCTATGCCAGCGTAAGCAATGGTGGAAGGAGGGAAAGCTGGATCATGGCTTTGTTGGCACTGCTACACCAGTGTATAACAATGGCGGAAGGAGGAAAAGCTGGATCATTGCTATGTTGGCACTGCTACGCCAGCGTAAGCAATGGCAAAAGGAGGAAAAGCTGGATCATGGCTTTGTTGGCACTGAATGCCAGTGTAAGCAATGGCAGAAGGAGGAAAAGCTGGATCATTGCTGTGTTGGCACTGCTACGCCAGTGTAAGTAATGGTGGAAGGAGGAAAAGCTGGATCATGGCTTTGTTGGCACTGCTACGCCAGTGTAAGCAATGGTGGAAGAAGGAAAAGCTGGATCATTGCTGTGTTGGCACTGCTACGCCAGTGTAAGTAATGGTGGAAGGAGGAAAAGCTGGGTCATGGCTTCGTTGGCACTGAACGCCAGTGTAAGCAATTGTGGGAGGAGGAAAAGCTGGATCATTGCTATGTTGGCACTGCAATGAAAGAGAGAAAAGATGCTTGACATAGGAAACGTGGAGAAAGCTAATTGGTGGAGAAATTGGCAGATGCAATCTTAGATTTTGGACCAAGAAGGCATTCATAAAAAAGGACTTCTATAACTGTTTCTTTGGGTTTAACCTGTCTATGCCACGTGCAGGATGCCAGCCAATGCTTACCCAGTGATAAGTCATTGATCATTTCAGTTCGTTCCTGTCCATACATCCTACCCACCTTGGTATCCGCTCCAATGGGTTTCCGACACTCGGCACAGGTGTTGGCGCAGAACTTCTCAAAGCACTTGACGCAGCAGTGGCGGCCTTCCTTCTGCACATATTTCTTCCCGTGCAAGTTCTCACGGCAGTAGTGGCAGTCGAAGCGCTCCGACATGGTGCCCACGGTGTAACTGCTGGGCCCTGGGGAAAGACATGGACAGATCAGAGAGTTGGCCGCAACAGAGGGATGATGGATTGGTAGAGGCATCAATTTTGAAATACTGTTCTTTTCCACCAACTCCCCTTAATCCACCGACTAGTGACCACATTGGCTGTAGGGAGCACAAGCTTACAAGGTAGACTTTCAGTGCTCTATAGTCAGCTGCGATGATCTTTCACTACTTCAGTCCTTTTTCAGGTGTCTTTTTATGTGTGACAATGTGGGGGGGGGGGATAGTTTCTTTAAAATCTTTTTACTGCCTTGTATTGATGTATTTCCCCCTTTTTAAATTAGCTGGGGCTTCCTTGTGAGCTTTTACCTTGAGGCTTTTATATTACAGGCTTGAGACACTCTTGAAGTAAAGACACTACAAGACACTCTTATAGTATTTTTAGCTTCTGGCTCCAACGCTTGTGGTTACATTTGTGTGTTCTGTTACAGTCTGGAGTCTTACATTTCAATATCATTCACTTAGTTAACTTTTCCTATCAAACTTCAACTGTTTCACATCAATAAATATGTTACTTTTTCATACACTCTTGACAGAACTATATTCCGCCTTAAACCACACTGGCACTTCTTTATTTTCCTTAAAACTTAAGCTCCATTTTCCTAACTGCTTTTCTCTCACAGAAGTCCCTAACTGTCCTTCCCAAACAGGAATCCCTAACTGAACTTCTCTGACTCTCTAACTGCCTATTTTTAAACTTAACTCCGCCCCTTTGGAATGTTCAACTCTCTTCCCCCCAACTGCCATTCTGGCTCAGTGGCCCTTTCACATCCTGGCCTACACTCATCTGCATTCAACCAATCGGCTGCACGTATGCAAATTAATCTTGCCTCTACTGTTGCTACCCTATTTCTGCCAATTCTGCCACATTGCAACATAGAGCTATACATCAAAAATTTAATATAGATCAACAATTTCGCTACACCAGCATTGCCTCTAACTGGGGGATTTGGGAACATTATCCAAAAGAGTAATGTTTCTCTTTTTGGTATGAAGAACAGTTCCAAATATCCCCCAGAGCAGCGTTTCTCACCTGGCGGTTTTGGGACCCCTGGGAAGGTCGTGATGGGGTTTCAGAGGGGTAGTCAAAGACCACCACAAAACATATACTTATTTGGTAGAGAAGACTGAAAATCTATCTGACTGTCCTTCTTTTCCTTTTTGGAAACCAATGGCAAATCCTCCCACCAAAAGCCCTCCTCCGCTGTGATTGGCTGACCTCTCAGTCAAGGGGCAGGCAGGGAGGAGAGAGCAGGCGTGCTTGGTGCATGGCGTGTGAGGGAGAGCGTGTGAGGCTGGAGGGAGCCTCGTGCCAGCAAGTCCCTTCAAGGCATGGGGGTTCTGTGTGAGAAGTTTGGCTCAATTCTATCATTGATGGGAATCAGAATGCTCTTTGATTGTAGGTGAACTATAAATCCCAACAACTACAACTCCCAAATGTCAAGGTCTGTTTTCCTATGGAGACCAAAATCCACTGATTGTGGTAATGCAAATGTATCTAAATTAACTCAACATATACATTACAAATACACATATCAACAAAACACAGAGCTGCCACATTCACATTAAGCAAAAACAATTGGTTCTTCTCTTGAAGTATGAAACATAACCTTCATGTGAGTAAGAATAGTCCTTGAATGACCATAAATGCCCTATTCTTTATTGCATGCAAGTAGACTACAGTAATCACAATAGGTGTCCTATTCCCTTCGTTACATACGAGTTGACTCCAACATGCAACCGGTTTCGACTCATAAGAGCCTTTGTCAAGTGGTTGGGTTCATTTATCGAAAAAGGCTCATGTATCAAAAAAAGGCTCAACTTTTGAGGTAAGTGATTCACCAACAATGTTCTTGAGAGGTGGATTAGCTAGTCTTTGTTGGTCAGTATACTCTGCAAAGCGTTTTATTCTGTAGTGAATATAGCTCTATTTTCCCCCAAACTCCACTAGTGTTCACATTTGGATATGTTGAGTATCTGTGCCAAACTTGGTCCAGATCCATCATTGTTTGAGTCCACAGTGGTCTCTGGATGTAGGTGGCCTACAACTCCAAAACTCAAGATCAATTCCCACCAAACCCTTCCCTTCCGAGTATAGGTCTATATCCCCCCAAAGTCCACTAGTGTTCACATTTGGGCATATTGAGTATTTGTGCCAAGTTTGGTCCAGATCCATCATTGAGTCCACAGTGGTCTCTGGATGTAGGTGACCTACAACTCCAAAATTCCAAGATCAATTCCTACCAAACCCTTCCATTCCGAGTATACGTCTATTTTCCCCCAAAATCGACCAGTGTTCACATTTGGGCATATTGAGTATCTGTGCCAAGTTTGGTCCAGATCCATCTTTGTTTGAGTCCACAGTGGTCTCTGGATGTAGGTGACCTACAACTCCAAAACTCAAAATCAATTCCCACCAAACCCTTACCTTCCAAGTGTAGGTCTATTTTTCCCCAAACTCCACTAGTGTTCACATTTGGGCATATTGAGTATCTGTGCCAAATTTGGTCCAGATCCATCATTGTTTGAGTCCGCAGTGGTCTCTGGATGTAGGTGACCTACAACTCCAAAATTCCAAGATCAATTCCCACCAAACCCTTCCCTTCTGAGGTCTATTTTCCCCCCAAACTCCACTAGTGTTCACAATTGGGCATATTGAGTATCTGTGCCAGGTTTGGTCCAGATCCATCATTGTTTAGTCTCTGGATGTAGGTGACCTACAACTCCAAAACTCAAGATCAATTCCCACCAAACCCTTCCCGTATTTTTTGTCAGTCATGGGAGTTCTGTGTGCCAAGTTTGGTTCAATTCCATCGTTGGTGGAGTTCAGAATGCTCTTTGATTGTAGCTGAGCTATAAATCCCAGCAACTACAACTCCCAAATGACAAAATCAATGCCCCAACCCCACCACTATTCAAATTTGAGTGTATTGGGTATTTGTTCCAAATTTGGTCCAGGGAATGAAAATACATCCTGCATATCAGATATTTACATTACAATTCATAGCAGTAGTAAAATTACAGTTATGAAGTAGCCACAAAAATGATGTTATGGTTGCGGGTCACCACAACATGAGGAACTGTATTAAGAAGGTTGAGAGTCACTACTTTAACAAGTTAGCATTCATCATTCTTTCAGTCACCTTAACTGATGCTCAAGGGAGTAAAAGTGGGGAGTTTTGATAAGAGAGGCCAAATTCATCAGGGATTGAAACTTCAAAAGAACAGGCAAAATTAAGTCCAATACTGCAAAGGGAACACAGAAGAAATCGACCATTTTGACATTGCGGAAAAGGTGGTTCCGGGCTCGACTTTACTTCTTGCTGCCCCCAGAGGGCATTAGAAAGCTTCCTATGACCAACTGGCCCATAGAACAATACAACAGAAGAGTTAAAACAATCATTAAAGCTATCAAGGGATTCGAACCTGTTCAGAAATATCTCATTAGAGAGAAAGCTGCCCATAAAAAACCATATTCTGCCAAAGCAACCAGCCCTCAAAGGCCACTGAAATAAGTCCTATGGAAAGACAACAAGGAAGGTATTCATATCTCGAAGGGTTTCATGGCTGGAATCACTCCATTGCTGTAAGTTTTCCGGGCTGTATGGCCATGTTCCAGAAGCATTCTCTCCTGACATTTCGCCCACATCTATGGCAGGCATCCTCAGAGGTTTGAGGTCTGTATTGGAAACTAGGAAATGGGATATAATGTCCAGGGTGGGAAAGAACTCTTGTCTGTTTGAGGACAAGTGTGAATGTTGCAATTGGCCACTTTGATTAGCATTTAATGGCCTTGCAGCTTCAAAGCCCGTCTGGTTGCTACCTGGGGGAATCCTTTCTTGGGAGGTGTTAGCTGGCCTTAATTGCTTCCTGTCTGGAATTACTCTGTTCTGAGTATTGCTCTTTATCCTGATTTTGGAGTTTTTTAATACTGGTAGCCAGATTTTCTTTCATTTTCATGGTTTCCTCCTTTCGGTTGAAATTGTCCACATGCTTGTGGATTTCATTGGCTTCAGTGTAGTCTGACATGGTGGTTGTGAAGTCGAGGAGGAATTTGGAAGGGTCTCCCTGAAGGAAAGACCCTGTGGACCCACCAAAGAGGGCTCGCTACTTTGGTGAGCAAAAGAAAAGAAGCCACAGTTTAAAAGATTTCCCTAAGTTCCCAAAAGAAGCTCAGCGATCCAGCTGGAAAGGATGCAAAGCCGCAATAATTCGTCAAGCAAAGTATACATTGAATACAAAATAAAGCCTTTTTATACATATACAGCGCTGTCTGATTGGTTGGCGCTCTACAGCTTGGAGGAGGCTTGGCCGCCTCCTGAGCGCCTTAACCAATGGGTGAGCTCACGCCACTTTGGCCTCCTGGCCAATCAGGAGAGAAGGAGGCGGGATGAGAGGGAAACAATGAGAACTGGAGTGGATTATGGAAATATATGGTGTCCATGTGGTCGGCGAGTCCTCAGGGGGCCTTCTAGCCGACCAGCCTATTGGCTTGAGGGGTGGCAATCAACGTCGATGTCTGGCGAGATGGCCAGAATCCGGATTTTTCTTGAACTGAGATATGGAGACAAAGGGGTAATCCTGGCTGTAGTTTTGATGGATGGAAGATAACTGAGAGAACAGATCAGGATAAAGTGTGGCTTTCTGAAGGCCCTTTGTCCTGTTGAGATATGGTCAATCATGCCAAGTGGGCACCTTCCGCTGGGGGGGCCAAACTCTAAGCCCCAGGGTCAAAGCCCATTGTATGGTCCATGCAAATATGTCTTTTGACAAAGTTCTTTTCAAATTTCTCATTCCAGGGTCACTGAGAGTGGCTTCTTATATTTTTATCCATTTTTAATAAAAGGGAATAGGACAGAAGGGTCAGGCAAAGGTCATTCATAGGGGGCTTGAAAAGGTAAAGTGTCCAAAAAGTTTCTAAGAGCCCTTCAGAAGGAAAAAAGTCCCATAGAAGTTCAAGAAAGTACATAA